CAGCAAGTGCACGTGGGTACAGGCAGAAGGGAGGACAGGAAGCCATGGCAGAGATATCAACATCTCCCCAGGAGGGTCAGCTTACACTTTTCTGGGCCCCGTCACTTGGTACCCATATAGTGCCCACATGGCGGGAGGCAAATGTCTGAATGAGGTCATGCTCAGCCTGTCTCTCGTGCCCCAGTAGGTGGTCTAACCCTGGCAAGAATCACAGTGCTGGGGTGGGAAGGGAATAAGGGGACCCCAAGGTCCGAGGGAACCTCCCAGGGAGAATCCCACATGGGGGCCCTTGTGCCAGGGGCTTGTGGCATACATGTACCAAGTCAGGTTGCTATGGCAACAGAAGTCCGCAGAGGAAATCCCCAAAATTAGCACTGTTTATTTTGGGTAATTTTAAGATTTTCTTTGCTTTCTGAAAGATGAACACACCCAATATTCATTGCAGCCTGTGGATCGTAATGAGTCTCAGAAATAACCTACATGATAGCTGGGCATGGTGGTGTAATCTCAGCACTCAGGAGGCTGAGGCTGAGGATCACAGCAAGTTCAAGGCCAGTCTGGGCTACATAGTGAGTTCAAGGCCAGCCTGAATTATATATCAAGACCCTGTATCAAAAAAACAAAACAGGGCCGGGGATTTAACTCAGTGGTTCCACCACCTGCTTTGCAAGCGCAAAGGTTGAGTTCGATCCCTGGTACCACCAAAAAAAAAAAAAAAAAAAAAAGGCCAGGGATTTAGCTCAGTAGTTCCACCTGCCTTGCAAGTGAAAGGTCCCGAGTTCAATCCCCAGTACCAAAAAACTAAAACAAAAAACAAAAAGAAAAAAGAAAAGAATGAACCTATGTGGCTCACAATATGGTAGGGGTAAATAAGATGGGATTCATTGGTTTGTTCATTCAACAGATACAGCACACCTTTTTTTTTTCTTTCTTTTGGTACCAAGGCTTGAACCCAGAGCTTTTGCTCCCCAGCCTTTTTTACATAGTTTTTTTTTTTAAGCTTTTTTTTTTTTGGACCAGGGATCAAACACCAGACCTTGAGCTTGCAAGGGGGGCAGTGGCAACACTGAGCTAAATCTCTGGTCCTATGGTCACTTTTGGTTTGGTTTGGTTTGGTATTGGGGATCAAACTCAGGACCTTGGGTTTACAAGGCAGGTGTGGTGCCAGATGTGAGTTAAATCTCTGACCCTACTTCCCCAGCCTTTTTTGAAAATATTTTCATTTTCAGACAGGGTCTAAGTCACTAAATTGCACGAGCTGGGTTTGAATTTGTGATTCTTCTGCCTCACCCTCCTAGAGTGATTATAGGTATAGATTATAGGTATGTGCCAACATCCCCAGCCACCTAGCAACTTCTTTTTTTCTTTTTGGTGCCAGGGATCAAACTGAGGACCTTGTGCTTGCAAGGCAGGTGCTGTGCCACTGAACTAAAGCCCCAGCCTAGTAAATATTTTTTTAATGTTTGGGGCTTTTCCTCAACAACTTCACAAGGACCTATTTGCTGGCCTCACTGGTGGCTGATAGCACTGTGTTGTTCTGGCCTCCATAACCTTTAAGCAGCAGACAGAGCCACATGGAACAACTGAGTTCTCTCTGTCAGGCAGGATCCTGGGCCTCCTCCTCAGTCCCCTGCATTTGTAAAGGCCAAAGGACACAGGGGCTGCAGGGTCCTTCCAGGAATGAGGGTTGTTATGGTTTATATCTAGATGTCCCCCCAAAGCCTCATCTACTCATAGGTGGAGTTTTAGGTGACTGGATCATAGGGGTGTGACATTCATCAGTGGATGCATCTTGAGTTTATAGCTAAAGGTGATTTGAGAGATGAAGCCTGGTTGGGGGAGTTGGGTCACCGGGGGTGTGGTTTGGAAGGATGTATGTTTCCCCTTCTCCCTTGATTCCTGCTCCTCTGGTTCCAGACTGCCATGCCAAAAGCAATCTTCCTCTCCCTACCTTGGAGCCAGCTGACTATGCACTGAAACCTCTACAGACAGAACCCAAATAAGCCTTTCCTCTTTTAACTTGTGGGTCTTAGGTATTGTGTCTCAGCAACAAGAAAGCAACTAAGCCGGGGATTTAGCTCAGTAGCACTGCACCTGCCTCACAAGTGCAAGGTCCTGAGTTTGATCCCTGGCACAAAAAAAAAAAAAAAAAAAAAAAAAAAAGAAAAGAAAGAAACTAAGATAACCAGGGTCATCTGGGTAGTAGTGAGGCCTAAGGCCAGCTCTATGCAGAAGCACCGAATGGTAGACGGAACTGACCAAGAGCAAACAGAATTTTCTGGGATGCGGCAGCTACCCGAAGACCCAGCTCTCTGCCCTGCAGAGGTGAGCCTTGTCCCTCAACAAGGGGCTGAGCTCACCTCTTCCTTGTGTGGCTCCTCTGAGCTACCTAGCCAGGCCCCAAACTGGGGTCAAGGCCACTAACTCATGCTTCTCTGAGTGGCTCTTGTGACAGTTAGCTCCCCCAAACCAAATTATGGCCTGTGTCTAGGTGTCTCCTCGAAGTCTCATTCTGTCACAGGTGGGGCTTTTTCAGAGGTGGCTGGATCGAGAGTGTTTGACTGATTCACAGTGCAATGCTGGGATTAAGAAGGGTATGATGACCACTGGTTGGTTTGGCACCAGCCTAGTCCTGGTAATTTGGATACAATATAAGAGACAGAAAGAGGCTTGTCTGGCCCCTTGTTTGCTTGTTTTGCTATCTTCTGCCCACCATGAATTGCTTGTCCTCTGCAATGCCTGCCTGCCATGCCACACTGCCTTGGAGCAGGCTGATTATGGACTGAAATCTCTACAAACTGAGATAAATAAACCTTTCCCCCTTTAACTTTTGGTGTTGAATATTTTGTCTCAGCAAAGAGAGAAAAGTAACTGGGACACTACACTTGGCTTTCTGGCTCATCCCAGAGATGCATGGCTCATACAGGGCCTTGCCCAGGCCTGTACCCCATTTTTTCAGGGGCCTATTCCCCAGAGAGGATTAGCACAAACAGTATCATCCACTCCATTACCCTCTCTGTTGGGCAACCAGGGCACTCCGGTCCTGGCCATCAAGGGAAGCTGGAATGAAATACCACTGTGAGATTCAGAGGTAAAGACAGGCAGCCAGGTTTAAGGGGCTGAGACCTGCAGGTTCTTTGGGGCCTCATCAGCCTGCATGCTGGGGCCAGCTTCAGGAAGGCACAGGGCATGGGTAGAAGACATCCACAACCTCTCTCACACGGGGGCCTGTGTCCTCTGGACACAATCCTAAACATGGTCCCCAGGCTACGGGTGAAGCCCCCCCTTTCATTATATCCTCTGAATTTATTAGATCACTAGACATTGAAAGCATGAAGACCGCCGGGTGAGGTGGTACTCGCCTGTAATCCCAGCACTCGGGAGGCTGAGGCAGGAGGATCGCTGTGAGTTTGAGACCAGCCTGGGCTACATAGTAGTTCCAGGTCAGTCTCAACTAGAGTGAGACCCTGTCTCAAAAAACAAAAAACAAAAAACAAAAAACAAAACAAAACAAAACAAAAAAGCATGAAGACCAATTCATCAGACACCTAAGTTTTCCTCTGCTCTTGAGTCTGCAGAGTGGTTCAGGCTTGGGAGACAGGGCATCTCTTCCCTGGGATGACAGCGGAAGGGTGAGGCGGGAAACACTGAACTTTCCATCACATCTGTGCTGGGCTGGCACAGGTGGGCTCCCAGGCGCCTCATCTGCCCTGTGGACTCCACAAGTGCCACAGGGCAGAGAAGATGCGGTTCTACAACCTACTGAACTGGCAAGTGTGGTGCCCAGGGCTGGCAAGGACAGGAGGTCAACTGCTGGCAAGGCTACACTGACAAGACCACCTGAGAAAGCAGCCTGGCAATAAACACTAAAATGTTCAGTTTTGTCTTAACAGTTCCACTGCCAGGGTTTTACCTGTCATATGTAAAAGTTGACTGAAGTAGTGAGTGAAAAACGTTCACTGCAGCACTCAATGTACTAGCCTGCAAGTGCAAACCCAAGCCTCCTGCCGTGGGTGGCTCAGACCTCATGATGATACGAAGCTCCTTTTTTTCAAGACCCCCTGTGTTACTTACTTTTTTGTTGTTATTGAGACAAGATACCTGACACCCAAGTTAAAGGAGAGAAGAGTTATTTCAGCTCACAGTTTATAGAAGTTTTCGTCTATAGTTGGCTGGCTCCAAGTCAGGGTGGTAGGGCAGAAGGACATCGCAGAGGAGAAACAGTCCATGCCAAAGCAGGCCAGGGAGGAGGCAGCAAAGCAGCAGCAGGCCTTCTTTCTGTCCCTCATGCTCCATTCGGCAGTGTTCACACTCAGGGTGGGACACCCTTAATCCCAACATCACACATTCTAGATCCAGTCACCTCTAAGAAGCACCTCTATATGGCTTTGGGAAGACATCTAGATATGAGCCATAATCCCCCCTCAGAGGCCACACTTGTACACTCCTGGTAGGCTGGCCAGAACGGACACCAGGTGTGCTGCAGACACGTGGTAGGAAGGAACCTCAGCTACAATGGCGGCAGCAAGGCGGCCACAGAGTCAAACGCATAATGCTCTCTCCTGCTTTGCAAGATAGGATCTGTTGCAATGAAGCTCCAGGGAAGCCAGCTTAGCAGCTGCAAGGAGGACAATACCATGTTTGCCAAATGAGGCAGGAGTAGAACTGCATCACATACTACATTTTGTCTCCTGCTCAGGCAAAGAAGCCTGAATACAGTTGGGGTTTGGAGTAGCAACAAGCTGGTAACTCAGGGAAAAGAAGGGTCCACGTGGCTAAGGGGGCCAGAGGGATAAATGCTCCCCTCCCACCAGGGTGGCCAGGGGCCACACCACCCTTCAATCAGGGTTCCTGGGGTTGGGGATCATGAGGCTCTGCTGCTTGCCCTGCCCTTTCTTCTGTGCAAAGGGGCCTGGACAGAAGGAGAAAGGGCATAGGAGCAGCCAGGCTCAGGAGAGACAGAGAACACACATGGGAAGCACAACCCCAGCTCTAAATGATAGGGTTACAATGATTCTTTTTTAATCCTCTTCCTTTTCTTTGCAAAAACTTTTGCACCTGGGCATGGTGTTACATGTGGGTAAGAACAGCACTGTGGGAGGCTGAAGCAGGAGGATCTTCAAATTCAAGGCCACCTGGGCAATTTAACCAGATCCTGTCTCAAAATAAAAAAAGGAACATAGTTCAGCATGAAGGACCTGCATTCAATCCCCAGTCCTACAACAACAAAAAAATTAAAAATGCAAAAAGCCAATGCCTAAGGGCCGGGGATTTAGCTTCGTGGTGCTACAGCCTGCCTCCATAAGGTCCCAAGTTCAATCCCCAGTACCCCCCTGCCAAAATCCAATGCCTAAGGTTTTTTGTTTTGTTTTGTTTTGTTTTTTTGTTTTTTAAGACAGGGTCTCACTATGTAGTTGAGGCTGACCTGGAACTCACTATGTAGCCCAGGATGGTCTCGAACTCACAGCGATTCTCCTGCTTCAATCTCCCAAGTGCTGGGAATACAGGTGAGCACCACCACACCCGGCTCATGCCTAAGTATTTTTATAGTAAAAAAAATTATCTTTTTTTTTTTTCATGTGTGCCAGGGATTGAACTCTGGACCTTATGTTTACGAAGCAGGCGGTGGCACCACTGAGCTAAATCCCTGGCCCAAAAAATTATCTTTTTAAGAAAATGTATTTTTCTCGCAAGCACAAGGACCAGAGTTCAATCCCAGTACAAAACAAAAAACAAAAAACAAAAACCTTAGCACTCAGGTAGCTGAGGTAGGAGGATCTCTGAATTCTACGCTAGTCTGGACTATATAACAAGACTCTGCCTTCAAAACTTAAAAAAAAAAAAATCAGCCAGGTGTGGTGGGGCATACCTGTAATCCCAACACTCAGGAGGCTGAGGCAGGAGGATCACCATGTGTTTGAGGCCAGGCTGGGCTACAGTGAGTGCAAGGCCAGCCTGAATTACAAAGTGAGACCCTGTCTCAAAAACAAAACAAAACACCAACTGAAAACAAAAAGTTGTATCCCTCTAACAGCTGCCAGAGACTTGGGGAGAGATCGTTGGGGAAGTCCCAGAAACATTATGCCAGCCTCCTGCATAGTTGGGGTAGGATGTGGGCCTATTGGGCTACGGGTGCCTAGCCTAGAGTTCAGTCAAGAGCGTCCAAGGACACAGGTGACCCCGAGAAGTGGGAGAAGAGCCTCACCTAGAGCTTAGCAGAGGTGGATTCCAAAGTCATCAGCTTCTTGATATCATTTGGGTATGTCAGCCAGCACCCACCATCCACCACCAGCATGATCCCAGTCACGTAGGAAGCCAGAGGACTAGCCAGGTACAGAGCACTGTGGGCGATCTCTGTCTTGTTTCCCATCCTCTGCAGGGGGCTGTGAGGGAGCTCTTTGCTCAGGCTGGCCTGGATGCCACCTAGAGGGCAGCAGGAGGCTCAGGCCTTATAGAACCCCTGACTCTAGGGCTCTCTACCCTTTCTAGCCAGCTCTTCCTCTGAACCAATAAGGCAGAGTGGAGCAGGAAAAACAAAAAGAGAAGTTCACTAGGAAGAGGACACAGAATGGCTTTTCAATCCATGCCAGGGCTGTGGAAGCTTCAGTGGATGGCCTGTGCCCTGGGCTCGGAGACACACAATAGGCCTGGATTCCCAGACGGGCTTACCCAGTCGTCGGAGCCCCTCTGTGCCACTGATGGGGCCAGGCGCAAGGCTGTTGACACGGATATTCCGGGGACCCCACTCCACAGCTAAATGTCGTGTCATTGCATCTGCATGGAAGGAGGGGAAATATGCAAAGCCACTTTGCCTCGGGTGGCTGGTGCAGTGACGGCTCAGGGCCAAGGCCACGCCTCTCTGTGGCCCACAAGTGGACTCAGGCTCATGTGAAGCCTGCCAGCTTCCAAAACAGTCAGCAGAGGGAGCCACTGGGAACCCACGTGGGCAGACCAGGGGGATCATACCCACAGCAGCCTTGGCAGAGCCTGCGTGCACCTGCAGCACCTGCCCCCGGAGACTCAGGGTTGCAGTAATGTTCACAATCACTCCCCCATGGTCCTGCAACACACAAAAGGAGGGGGCAGTGAGGGGCAGGCAGGCAGGAAGGCCGAGATCCAGAGAACACCCACCTGGAAGAACTTCTCATAGAGCACACGAGTCACATTGAAGGTGCCAATGGTGTCAATTTCAACTACAGTCTTGAAGGCATTGAATGACAACGCACTGGCAGGGCACAGAAAGTTCCCAGCTGCACCTACGGAGTAGAAGATGACAGAAGGCAGTCAGTCCTGGGATGGTGGGGCGCTGGGTGGGCAGAGGCCCCAATGGGAGGATGTACAAGAGTCAATGCACTGTGGGCACTGCTGGTCCCAAATGGACAGGGTAGGAGACCAGGCACTTGGACAAACTCCTGATGACAGAGTAAGACAGGATATTATGCTAACGTCCGAAAAGAGGTTGATGTCCTAACCTTCAGTACTTATGAATGTGACCTAATTAGAAAACAGGCCGGGTGTGGTGGCGCACGCCTGTAATCCCAGCACTCAGGAGGCTGAGGCAGAAGGATTGCTGTGAGTTCGAGACCAGCCTGGGCTACAGAGTGAGTGACAGGTCAGTCTCAACTACGTAGTGAGACCCTGTCTCAACTGCCCCCCCCCCAAAAAAAGATAGAAAACAGGGTCTTCTTTGTTTTTCTGTTTTTGTTTGAGACAGGGTCTTGCTACATAGTTCAGGTTGGCTAGCCTCGAACTCTGTATGTAACCCAGGCTGGCCTCAAACTCGCACCAATTCTCCTGCCTCAGCCTCTGGAGTGCTGGGATCACAGGTATGTATCACCACACCTGGCTCTTCTTTGTTGTTTGAGACAAAGTCTTGATATGTAGCCCAGGATAGACTCAAACTATATATAGCAATCCTCCTGCCTCAGCTTCCTAAATGCTGGGATTACAGCTGTGAGCTACCATGCTTTTCTGAAAATGGGTCTTTGTAGATGTTACCAAGTTAAGATGAAGCAATAATGAATTAGGGTGGTTCTCAATACCATGACTATGCCATTTTTTTCCCCCGGTACCTAGGATTGAACTCAGGACCTTGTGCTTGCCAGGCAGGCACAGCACCTCTGAGCTACATCCCTGGCCTGTGCTTTTTTTTTTTTTTTTTCCTAATCTCTACCACTGAACCATATTCTGGCTCTATTATTTTTCTTTTTTTCTTTTTAGTACTGGAGATTAAACCCAAGGGCCTTTGCTACATCTCCTGCTGCCCTCTTTTTATTTTTATTTTGGCTAAGTTGCCCAGCTGGGCTTGAACTTGCAATTTTTCTGTCTCAACTTCCCAGAGCTGGGATTACAGGCATGCACCACCACATCCAGCTAAAGTGAGAATTTGAGGACACAGGGAAGTCAGTCACGTTCAAGAGGATCCACTTGAGCATCTAGAAAGAGCAGAGATGGGCCCAAGACAGACACTGGGAGCCTGGCTCCTGCCTTAGCTACAGCTCAGCCACCACAGGCACCTCAGTTCTCTGGCACTGTCCCTGCCCCAAGGGCAGAGCTCTGGGTCCTCCAACCATCTGGTCTTGCTCAACACCAACTCACAGTTAATGAGGATATCAATTTTGCCAAATTTCTTCAGTGCCTGGTCCACAGCAGCCATGATGGCTGGGGTATCTCGGACATCCATGGATATAGGGAGGCAGCACTGGCCAGTGGCAGCAGCCAGCTTCTTGGCAGCCTGAAAGGTAGACAGGAAGAGGTGAGAAACAACATAGCAACCTGGGCCTGCACCACTGACCTTCAGAACCCGATAAAGACAATGTGTCTATGTTCCATTGGCACCTGGGTTTGCTGCTGTACTTCGCTGAGAAGTCACAGCCAACACGTGGCTGGCTACTCCCTCAGCTATGACATTCGTAAGATGTTCTACACACTCCACCACAGGCCACCTGTCCCAGACTTGTCCCTCTTCATCAACCTACTCAACCATCTTTCCAGGTCAAAGGCAGACTCAGCTGACATCCAGTCCCTGCCTAGAGCCAGTGATGGCATCAATGAGATACACCTTCCAGGTAAAGAGCAAGGCTGACAACTTTTGCCCATTTTTTGGGGGGTGGGTTGAGACAGGGTCTCACTATGTGGTTGAGATTGACCTGGAACTCATTATGTAGCCCAGGCTGGTCTCAAACTCACAGCGATCCTCCTGCCTCAGCCTCCTGAGTGCTGGGATTACAGGTGTGCACCACCACACCTGGCAAGGCTGACAACTTTTGACTTTCATAATCCTGAGTTTGGTGGGGGCCAAATTATCCCCCAACCTAAGGATCCTCATAGGACCCAGTAACCAGACTTTTTTTTCCCTGTCCTGGGGATCAAACCTAGGAGCACTTTATATCCATAGCGCTTTTAATTTTTATTTTGACACAGTGTTTTGCTAAGTTGCCCAGGCTAGCCTCAAACTTGCCATCTTCCTATCTCACCCTCCTGGGTAGCTGAAATTATAGCTGTGTGCCACTATGGCAGTCCAATAACCAGACTTATAAGAAGCCAAGGGTGTCCACTGAGGCTCCATTTTTGAGAGCAAAGCAAGTTTTGGTGTTACCATCCCCTGGGCCTCAGGACACTTCCAGCTCAGGCTGCCCGTCCAGGCCCTCTCACCGTCAACACTCTTGGCAGACTCCTGCTGACGATGACTGTTTGGCAGCCATGCCTGCAAAGCGAGATGGCAGGCCTCAGAACAGCAGGTGGAAGGCGGGTTTCTTCAGTAGGGATGTATGTCAAGGGCCGAGGTATGGCTGGAGAAGGCACAGGGGCCCAAGCAGGGCTGAGCAGACTGAGGGGCCTCAGGTGAGTGCCACGGTTGCCCACTCCTCAGTTTTTGGACTGGGCCTCTCTGGCAGGGGTATCCCAGACATACAGGAGGCAGACCTGCCACAACACCATATATGAGGCAGAGAGGCCACAGGGAGCCTGCTGGGTCCCTTGACTCAAACTTGCACGCCTCAATCCCCCTCCCTGGGGAGCCAGGAAAGACGGAGTCCATTCTGAGGCAGGCTGTTTCCCTGCCCACCTGGCAAACTCAGCCCCACAGTGACAACAGTGGGGCAAATAGCCATAGACCATGTTCACAGGAGCCACAGTGTCCCATCTAATCCTCAAAAGGGCCCCTGACACTAGAATAGCTATGCTCTAGTGAAAAGCAACTTGCGTAAGGCCATCAGTTCCAAAGATGAGTCTACCTGGGACCATGAGTCCCAAAGCCTGTTCCTGTTAGACTCAAATTGAAAACTAAGGGCTTGGGGAAAGGAGTAGGGCCCTTCTTTCCCATCTCAGCCTAACTCTGCTTGGTGGGATGGTTTCTGACACATGGCTTAGGCCACAGAATCTGTGTCCCGAGATACTGGGTACTACGCGGCACAAGGGTCTGTCAACCCACTCTGTGAGGCCCCAGAAAGTCCTAAGGCAGAACCACACAGTCTCATAGACTTCTAGAAGACTCCAGAGTCCCTCGTTCCAGCAGGGTCCAGGTAAGGGGAAACAGTAACAGAGAGAGCCCTAGAACAATGCTTACCGCATAAAAATCTCAGTAATCCGGAACCCGATCCCAGAGCCGCCACCAGTGATAAAAGCCACTTTGCCCCTGGTCCATGGGAATAAAAAAAAAAAAAAAAAAAAAAAAACCGAGATTCTTTAAAATGGTCACTGTTGCAGGGCATGGTGTCATACCCCTGTAATCCCAGCACTCAGGAGGTTGAGGCAAAACGATTGCTCCAAGTTCAAGGTCAGCCTGGATTACACAGTGAGTTTAAGGCTGACCTAAACTACATAGAAACCCTGTGTCTAAGTAAATAAATAAAAGGTCACTGTTAACTGACAGCAGTGTAGCTGGGGTGTAGGAATTCACCCAGGGCAGAACATTTTTTGGGCAGCGTTACTGGCCAAAAGGAAAATTACATCGTAATAATTTACTCCATTCTCACAGGGCAAAGATTTGAGTATGTCAAAATATGAGTGTTTGGGCCAGGGATTTAGCTCAGTGGTGCCACTGCCTGCCTTGCAAGTGCAAGGTCCCAATTTCAATCCCTGGTACCAAACAAAAAGAAAAAAAAAAATGAGTGTTTTTCTCTACATGTCATTTTAATTTTTTTTTTCTTTTTTTGAGACAAGGTCTTGCTATGTAGTTTAGGCTGGCCTTGAACTCACTATGTACTCTAAACTGGCCTCAAATTTGCAATGTTCCTCCTGCTTCAACCTCCTAAGTGCTAGGATTATAAGCGTGCACCGACACACCCGGCTTAATTTTTTATTTAAATAAGATAACATATTCAGATACGTTAGGGGGTGACAAACTGAAGGACTGGCCTGAGTGACAGGAACTGTAGCAGGGGAGGGGGGCACCACATGACACACAGGGACTTTGACCCCTTTAACTGGGCCTTCAACCTAGCATGATTTTGTAAGAAAATAAAACGTTTTTTTAAAAGCCTATCTGTCAGGCTTACACCTGTAATCCCAATACTCGGGAGGCTGAGGCAGGAGGATCGCTGTGAGTTCGAGACCAGCCTGGGCTACTTAGTGAGTTCCAGGTCAGTCTCAACTACATAGTGAGACCCTGTCTCAAAAAACAAAACTAAACAAGCCTATCATTCCTAAGCTTTCTAGGCCTTCAGGAAAAACGATTTTAACCTAAAATTCTCTACTCAGAAAGTTGAGACCAGTTTTCAAAACCTACAACTTCCACCCACACTTCCGCTCCTCTCCCTGGCAGGATCTCTAGGCCAGCAAGTCAGAAGCAGGCTTCACCATAAGGATCCCAAGACCGCCATCCCGACTGCCCGCCTCGCGCAAGCCGCAGCCCACCCCTCCCTTGCCCTGCGTCCCTCTCTGGTGCCCCGCGCCCGAGCTCCGGGCCGCCCCGCTCCTGCTCACTGGAGCAGGTCCGGGCAGAAGAGGTAGCGGTAATCAGGGAGGCAGTTGTCCTCTTCAACGTCGGGAGGCTGCTCCATGGCGCTCGAGGAGGGAAGGGACAGCGGTATTCTCTCGTGTTTGAGAACCACCAGGTCCGCTGCCACAGAAAGAAGCAAGCAGCATCAACACTGCGCGCGCGACAGTACCACGGGGGAGCCCCGCCCCCAGGCGCCGCCCCTCCCACACGGACGCCTTCCCCATCCGCCCTTCCCGGAATCTTGCCCAAGGATGCCCCTCCCACCACAGCGCACAGCCTCCTGGGACTGGAAGTGGGCGGGGTTGCACGCAGCGGCTCTGGCCTCGCTGGCACCGCGTAAAGCAAAGGGAAGCTTGCTCGGTGGTGGTGGGGCGCTCAATGGCTCAGGCGTTCCTGCCCCTAGTCCTTTTCGCGCCCTGGGCGCCAAGGTGCAATGGTTGAAGCTGGCTGCATCCCACGCTCGGTCACTGACTAAGGCTGCGCTTGCGATGCAGAAGGCCCTACCTCCTGGACCTGCCTCTTGGTGGGCAAAAAATGAACACAGAGGAGGGAATTAGAGTCAAGGAAGCGCGCCTTCACACTGCCAGCACCAGGTCCAGGTCCTAAAGTGACCGGCACATTAGCTCTGTCATAGCCACTCGGGACAAGAACCCCAGGACCTGAACATGTCACCAGATGTCAAAGGCTGATGGCCAAATCAGCCTCATAATCTGTCTGCTATCCGGGCCATAAAGATGTGACTTGAGGACCCAAGTATGAAGTGTGATCCTCATGTCAACATGAAAATAAGTGGATGCCAGGCAGCCCCCTTCAGTACACGTAAACCATGAAGATGAAAGGATTATAGTCGGGCTTACTATGCTTAAAAGTGGGCTTAGCTGCCCGCCGCCCCCCAATCCCTTGCCACCCTCCTTCAGCAAGACCCAGTAGGTGGTGGCTAGGATGGCACCAATCAGGAGCTCAGCTCTGATTGCCCCAGATTTCAGGCTGCCTGGATTCCTGCCTAGCTCACACATTCACCAAAGTCAGGGATCCATTCCCTCCTCCATATTTGAGCGTGGGAGGTTCCACTTTACTGTTTACAACTTGCATAACACCATTACTGCTGTCTTAGAGATGCCAGAAATCATGAGCACACTTCCGTTCTACGCAATGAACTTTAATGTCTCTCCTTTGGGGCAGGGGAGGTTACCTTTGAAGGTACCCCAAAGGTTGTCTGGCACTTTGGTACAGAAGGATTTAGTCTAATTTTGTGCTGGCTTAGGACACAGAAAAGGCACATAAAGTTGGCACTGACTCCTGCGCGCTGGGGTAGAGTAGAAGGCAAACAAGGAAGTGGTTGAGGAGAAACAGGATGGGTGTAGGATTGAGTTCTTGTTGACGGAGGTAGATGGTCCTTGGTTGGACCGTGGAGTGCCAAGCGTGACACGAGCCCTCAGGCTGGGCAGCTGCTGTTGTAGTGGCCCCCATCTGCCCAGTTCACCAGCTCACTATTCTGGAACCACAGCTGGATCTCTCTCTGGGCGCCCTCCACAGAGTCGCTGGCATGGACGATATTCCTGTGCCAGGTAACAGGTGGCAAAGGTGAGGCTCAATCTTGAGTGTGCACCCTGAGGCTCCCTCAGTCTAGGGGAGCAAGCAGATGTTTGTGCAAAGGGGAAAAGAGTAACAGGAGCTAGAAAACTGTGTTCCAGCCTGGCCTCAGCCTTTTACCCACAACCTCAGGGGCCAGTCCACATCCCAACTTCTAGCAGCTTCCTTTCCCCGGAAGCTGTCCCATGGCAACCCCTCAGGTGCCTGCAAGACAGGCAAATAAAAGATAATGAAAGAACATACACACAAGGGAATGTGTCATCTCTGTGAAAAGGTTGTGAGAAAGCCATCCTAGTCAGTCAGCTGTGACATCCAGTATCAAGTTCCTTCTGACTTCACCTTTAGCTAAGCAAATCATGTGACTGTGACTTAGGAGCAGGCTGCCACCCCAAACACTTGCCCTGGGTGATTGAGTCAGGGACGCCTATACCTGCTGATGTGGATGCTGAAGTCTCCCCGGATGGTCCCAGGGGCCGCCTCAGTGGAGTCAGTGTGTCCTATCATCGCTCTTGAGACACGGACCACATCGCATCCCTCCCAGACCTGCAGCACAGAGGATGAGGAATACCAGCAGCCCTTGGGCTCAATCCTTGGGTTCTCCTTTGCTTGGAGAACATACCCACCCCCACCCCCACGACCTCTACCAAACTGTACCATGGCCACCACAGGCCCAGAGCTCATATAGCTGATGAGGGCTGGGTAGAAGGGTTTCCTCTGTAGGTCCTGGTAATGCTCAGCAAGGATGTTCTCAGGTGCCTGGGTAGCATTGGGGGAGAAGAGAAGTCCCTGGAGATGAATTTCCCACTGGTCCCGACCTCAGGGTACCCTGCAGATAATGCCCACATGGACTGGCACCCCCAGCACAGAACAGATACCTCCCCACCCCTGCAACTGCCAATGCCAGGCTGAGATACGAAGGGTTGAGAATGGACCACAGGTCCCGGACTGATACCTGCAGCATCTTCATCCCAACCAGTTTGAAGCCTCGCCTTTCAAATCGCTGGATCACAGTCCCAACGAGCCGCCGCTGCACTCCATCTGGTTTCACAGCCACCAGGGTCCTCTCCTGGGCCCACGTGGGCCCCCCTTTAAAAGAGGAGGGGCTTAGGGCCGGGGATTTAGCTCAGTGGCACTGAAGCTACCTAATAAGCACAAGGTCTTAAGTCTGATCCACAGTATGGGAAAAAAAACTAAATAAATAAAGAGGAGGGGCTGGAGTTGCCACTGTCTTACCATGTCATGTCTCCCTGACTGGCTTTCTCTGCCAGGGCCCAGACATCACCAGGCTTCTGCCTTTGTGCAGGGCAGCTCTGGAAGGAACAAGTCCAGTGCCCACTCCTTGACCCAGGGCCTTGTATCCCCGGGGCTTCTTTCAGGCAATGGCCAAAAGCTGCCCAAGACTGAGCTAGCTGGCTTCCCCTGAGAGGGCATCTGAGGAAGGCCAGAGGTCCTGCTGAGCTGTGACCACCAGGGAGGCAGGAAATGCTCCCTGGAAGCAAGCTTGCCTCTGGCGCATTTCTGACTCCTGTTCTCCAGTGGACAGTGGACAGCAGCATCTGAGGCTAAGGTCGGCCTTAGAAGGACCCCAGAGCCACCCTCTGAGAAAGAGATGAAGGAATAGAGCAAACTTGGAAGAGGAAGTATACTCCCTCCAATTAGGCAGGACAGGGACACAGGGGGCTGAAGACGTAGAATCCCAAGGAGGCTGAGAAGAGAGGTCAGGTGGGGGCTCTAATCCCAACTCTGGTCAGCCCTGAGCCCCTCTCCAGGCAACAGGGCCAGGAAGACAGGAGGTGGCTTCATTCTCAGGCAGCCCCGTCCACTCGCAGGGCAGTAAACATTTCATCCCAGGACAAACGTTGCTTTTGTGTGTGGGGCTAGGCAGATAGGTGCTCACCACCACCTACACACACACACACACACACACCACTGACTGAAGACCACAGGAAAAAGCCTCCTAGCTTCTTTCCAAAACTCAGTTCACAGGGTCTTCAGTCCAGCCAGGATCTCTGATGCGCGCCTGTCTGAGCGCTGGAGGAGGCAGTTTGCATGTTATTTGGAAGCATTCTGTGGATGGACAGTCAGCGCGAGGCCCCAGGCCGGGGTGGACCAGACGGTCTTACGCCTCGTGTTCCAGCTAGGCCGGGATCAAATACCCGGGCGACAGCGGCTCCGTGGGTAGGCTTCCTCTCCTTGAAGGGCGTCCCGCTCCCAGAGCCACACGTCCTCTGGGACCCTCGATACGCCCACTGCGACTGCCCACTGTGGTTTTTTTTTTTTTTTTTTT